GTGAGAGAGAGTGTGTGTGTGTGAGAGAGAGAGGTTGTGTGTGTGTGTGAGAGAGAGAGAGAGAGAGAGAGAGATTTAAGTCGCAATGGTGGAGGTGGGCTTGGTCTTGGATCCGATGATGGTTTTTCCCCCTGAAAGGGCTAAAGGGGTCGGTTGGGTTGTGCACATTTCCCCGTATTTTCCTTTAAAACCTTTTCTTAGGTGGACACTCCGTCCTTGCAGAGTTGGATTAGATTCTGGATCTCTTTGTCGGTCTATAGGTTAAAGTGAGGTGTGTGTGTGTGTGAGGAATAATGGATTATATGCCATCTAGTTGTTGTCAATTTTTTAGTGATTCCCATTGATAGATTTTCTGAATGGTGATTAGTCCCTAAACTAGTCTCTCAGATCATCTTTTGGTACACCCATCACGGCTGGTTGCCCTCTTCTTTTCTTCCTTTTACCTTTCCCACCATTAGAGCCTTTTGAGGGGCTAAAGATATTCTGCACGTGGTCAGTTATACTCTGCTGAAACAAAAACCAGTAGGACCTGTCATTCTGCAGGGGGAGGTTGTTAGATAATTGTATAAAGAAAATGAAAATAGGTACACTATTGGCTAAGGGACTTTTTTAATGATATCAATATAGATAATACAGAGAATGTGTATTACAGGTAAATGATATGGTTTGAAAGTTGTTTGTAATAATTGCACTTATAAAAAATATACATTTCTATAGCCACCCATCTCAATATTCTGATTATTAGAGTTTTCTGTTGTCAGTGTTTAAGCAAGCAAGTTTCAAACCCTTTAATTTTATGATTTATTTAATAAAACAGATTTTTTAAAGACAACAAATAGTCTTAAATTGTACAATTTACAGTATTGCTACAACTAATATGATATTGTTGAATAATATGTAGATAAAGTATTGATTGTATTTATTGTTTACAATAAAGTATTGCGTTGAAAAACCTCTTTTCTACATACAATAGTTAAGGTGGAATTCATTTCTGAACTTTTGCTTCTATCAAAGTTGAATTGAAAAGCACAGGAGTGATGGAGAAGTATTTAAACATGATAACATAGGAAACAACTTTATGTAAATTGTAGATCTCACAAGCCAGGAACACTAAATCCTAATTTATTTCTTTTCCCAGTTATATAAAGAGAGGATTGTGCAGTTGAGCTTGCTTTTAATACAAACACTTTTAATCAAATTCATTTTAAATAATGCCTTTAAAACATAAACTAATGTTTTATGTGAATCAGGCTAATATATTTTGTAGATAGCCATGACTCATAAGGTTTTAGAAGTTATCAGTTACATTCAGAAGTCAGTTGAATTCCTACATGGTTTGTTTCTACCAGCTGACATTCACAGGTTTTCCAAAGCCACAATATGCCCAGCTTGCCTGTCCAAACTGGACAGATAGAAACCATCTGTCACTGAAGTAACTCAGTCCTACAAAAACAGATATAAAGATATGGCAAGCATAGGAAATTTAGAATGAGTGTATTCAGAATGAATTTCTGAAAATGCTTACTTATTGAACAGAAAGCGCACAATCTTAGTATGTAGAGTATTATATAAACTGGCTTAGTTAATTTGAAGGAATTCTCATTTGGAAGTGCAGTTTTTAGTTATTTTACTATATATCAATCCAATATTGAGTGCTGGGATTAATGTAGTTTAGCTTTGTAGTACAAGGTATACATATGTAAATTCGTAAGTGTGGTGATACAAAGGAAATGAATGATACAGTATTGCTACAACTAATATGATATTGTTGAATAATATGTAGATAAAGTATTGATTGTATTTATTGTTTACAATAAAGTATCATGTTAAAAAACCTCTTTTCTACATACAATAGTTAAGGTGGAATTCATTTCTGAACTTTTAATCCGCGTCAGTTTTAATTGAAAATACATATGCTAGCAATGCAGATCAAGGTGATAAACTTTTTTGTAGAGATAATCTATTTAAACATGCATTATACATGAAATGATGGATGAGATTGAAGCAAAAATGATATAGCCAGAACAGATGATACTACCATTCCTTTTCTTCCTATTACAGCTTACAGTATCTCACTTCATATAGCATTATTGGACAATATCAAAAACCTGAATTGAATAATAGCAAAAGCTTTTATTAACTTTTAATTAGCATTTTAATTAGCTTAATTAATTAATTTTATTTTAAATTAATTAGCTTGAGGGTCATGAAAGTAGACCAAGGGCCACACATAATTTGGACTGCATGTTGCCTATGCCTGTTACCTTTGGAATTCATTTACAAGATATCATGTTTGTAATGAATATATAATCTTGAATTCTTCTCGTGATTTAAAATTCTATATTCTACTGATTCATCTGATCTATGTCTTTCTTGGGTGGCAATTATGGTAGCTGCAAGCAGCCACAGCACTGTCTGGGCCTTTAGGAAATGTAAAGGCTGTTTTAGGACTGTATATTTTCTAATCTGTTTTTTTCTGTGGTTCTTGTGGTTCTCTTGCCATTTGAATGCAGTCATTGGCTCCATCAGTAAGCTAAATAGATTTGAAACTGACAGGCAGATCTGAGATAAAGGGGAGGGGGCTATAGACAGGGCATAAATTAGACTCATTTAATTTGAATCAGGATTGACAAGTTGTGTTACAAAATTTGCTTCAGAAGCAAATTGATGCAACAAATAATAGTTTCAAACTTTTATGTGAGCTTGGAAGCCATTGTAACAGTTATATAAGATATACCTCTTTAAGGGTGTCTTTTTGATGTACTAAAATACATTGTGTGTGTGTGTGTGTGTGTGTGTGTGCTTCTGCATGCACACAGAGTTTAAATTTATTTTTGCATGTATGAAAGTGTGTTCCCTGTCCACAACTGATTTTTCAGACTATTGGTTTGACTGTTGGATTGTAAAACAATTAATATTGGCTTATTTTATCAGAAACAAGCTACTGAATGTAGAAGGAAAGGAAGTCATTGATGTAGAAAATGCCTCTTAGAGACAAGTACTGTCAGACTGACCATCACCATGGATGCTGTGAACCGGGTAATAGTATTGTCTTTAATCCTAAAACTTCCACTTTTGCAATTTCTGTATTCTTCACATATTAAGTTTTATTTTCTGTGAAATACTTGGGCAAAATATATATTAATGTTACTGAATGAAATTATTTGTATATAGCGTGTTTATGTGTCTGGACTGGACAATAAGCAAAATGTGCTTTTATTTTATTTATTTATTTGTACCATGCCTTTATTATTTTAACAAATAACTCAAGGTGGAAAACATATCCAGTACACCTTCCTCCTACATTTTTCTCACAACAACAACTCTGTGAGATGAGTTGGACTGAGAGAGGCTGAATGGTCCATAGTCACCCAGCTTGCTTCCATGGCTAAAATGGGATTAGAACTCACAGTCTCCTGCTTTCTAGCTTGGTGCCTTAACTACTAGACCAAACTGACTAGAATTCCAAAACATATGGAACCGTTTTTGTAAATGAATAGCTTGATGTATAAGTATGTAACAGTATTTGTGTTCTAAAATATAATAAAACACAAATATGATTTTCAGTCTAAAATAATGGTATACTTTTATAATTTAATTCGACACTGAGTATTTAGCATATACTGTTTTAGAAACAATTTTTCAATTTTTTGTTGAAGCTAAAGAGGAAGTGTTTATGTATGTTCTATGACCAAATACATATACACTTAATATTAGGGTATATGCTCCATTCAGTTGGAGAATCTGTGGAATAATTTTTATAAATTTAGCTATTGCCTATCTATTCATGCTTACTGAAGAAATTGTTTTCATTGTTTTCAGCAAGCTTTTTCCCCAAGTAAATATATATATACCTGAGGGAAAAGTTCTTGATTTTGGTCAGTTTTATGGCTGAATAGGCAGTGCAAGACTTTATATTATTTTTTTAAAAGATGTTTTGAAACATTTGAGGGACTCTTTGTACACATTTTCCCAGGTCCACATAATTTCTCTCTGCAGTTGTCGCATGATGTGATTGAATGTGTCTTGGAAGGGAGAGGTGATATGAGGGACTACAGTAATTGCAGAAGGTTATCCGGAAGGAGATAGCATATTCCAAAGAAGGGGGCTAGACAAGGGACAACATACATGGTTTGAAGCTGGATTGTGGAAAGAGAGAGATTTAAGTTAGCCTTTCCTGGATGATATAGATTTAGTCTGGCAAGATTCTGTCTATATGATGTAAGAAAAAATAACTGGACTTTGGCTGGTTTGTGCTACATTGTTCTTGGGCTAGCTTGATGCACCACCCTAGGAAAGATGCAGCAGCTTTAAGGAAATGCAGGGATGTATTACATCCGTGTCCTTACATATGAAGTATTGTAATGCATTCTGAAGTATTGTGACAATCATATTTGACAAATTGCATAACCCTATCGCTGAGCAGATATAAACACAGTATACCAAAAGTCAGACCCCGTATTCAAATTCCAATGTGCTTTTTATTAATTTTCTTTTCAGAGAAAATATTACTTAGGAACATTCAAAGGTCAGTAAGGAAGAGTCTAGAAAAAAATGGCAACAAATTCAAACATTTACATTATAATCAATAATAAAATATAATAAACATTAAATATTATAATTTAAATATACACCTTGTATATTGTTCCAAGTATTAAATAATTCATCTAAATTTTATTGTATATTCTAAGGCAATATTCTAGCCATTATATATTAATATCTGATGTATTACCAATATCAAGACCATAACCATATGGTTTTAAATCAGATAATGTTTGTCCCCATCTAAACCTAGCCTTAATTGCCTTACTTGGCTGGCCCAGGGGCAAAATATATAATTGGATATCATCAGCATAAGGATGATACCAAACCCCAAACTGCATATGACCTCACCCAGTGGTTTCATTGAGATATTGAAAAGGAGGGGAGAGAATAAAACCTACAGCCTATAAAGGAGGAGCAGGGAGTGATCAGTCCTCTCAACCAACACTGACTGGAACTACCCACAGAGAAAGGAACCATCATAAAATGGTGCCCTCAACTGGCAGGGCCAGCTTAGAAGGATATTGTGGTCAAGAGGCACTGAGAGACCAAAGAGTAAAAGAATCGGTACATCAGCTAAATAATGTTTTGTTTAACTCTTCTACACAGGGTTCAGATTAGGAGTTCTAAGAGGCATTTTATACTGCAGAAATATTTTACATAATATAGGTGTAATTTAAAACTAGAGGAATGAATTTGTTTATAGTAAATCAATATGTCAATTATGGTAGAAGAATTGATCGTTTTGCTACAGTGTATGATTAACCAAAATAGATTTTTTTTAACCTGGCTAAAACTTTCAAACATACTCCATAGTTGAGATAAATGGTTTTCTGCAAAATAGTCTAAATTATTGTTGCTGTTGTTGTTGCATTAATATGAATAAAAAATGACAGAGCTAATTAAATGTTTCCTTTGATAAATTGTGTGCCTTAGAAGTTCAATATGCATCTATTTGTATACATGTGTCTTTTTTGAAATTTCTGTGTTACATATGAAAAAATATTTGTGTTATATGTTAACAAAATAGATTAATATTTAATTTAAAAAATGTACAGTTGATTTTCCTTAAAAACAAAGGCATGAAGCACAAACAAAAACTGAAATTGGAGATGAGAAATTAGTCATTACTGGTGGTTTTTCAGACTGCAGTGTATGCCACCATTCATGTAGTGACTCAATTAATTAACATTTCCATTTTCAATACTTTATAGTGCGTGTGCTGGAACCTGGAGATCCACCTTTATTACAACAGCCTTTTCATACATCAAAATCTGGAATCCAGCAAATTATTGAATGTTTTCGATCAGGTATGCTTCTTTTCTTATTCTTTAAAAAAAATATTTTTGGGATATTTTCATGATTACTTCAGTTTACCATGTACAACCTTAGTTGGCCTGAGGAGATACTTGATGTCTGAATAGCATATCTAGAACTTTAAACTAAAAAAAGTAGGCAGTATCAGGACAGAAAAATTAATTTAGCTTAATTTAACTTTTAATGTTCATTAAGTTAGTGAATTCCCATTTAATTTTTTCATAACAACCGCATTACCCAGAGCCCTTTCTGAGGGAGATGGGTAGTTAAGAAATATGAAATATAAATTAACTAATTAATTTTCTAACGATCTTTTTGAGATACTAGAGGCCATAGGAATGAGTTTGAAGATTACAAGTTCTGTTGTAATGGTAATAATAAAAGTAAAAACTTTGAATTCCATTATAGGTAAATAAATTTGAATACACATATCTTATTAAATAACTTGATACAAAAGATCCTGTTTTATTTTTAAAACAGAATTTCTAGGGGTACATTCTGCTAGAAGTTTAGTCATCCATACACAGTTCAGACTTACTACAGAGAAACAGACAAACAAGTTGGATAATCTAATTGTAAGGCTTTCATATTGCTATTTAAGAGTGTAGTTTTTATTATTGATAACAGTAATATTTTTCAAAAAAATTGTTTTCCTTTAAATAATTCTAGATTAACATTACCAGTACTTGTGGTTTTTTGAATGACATAAAGTTTTTAACTATATATAAAATAGTAAAACTAGCAAAACAATCAGTGGTAGACCTCACTGTGTTAAAAAATAGTCATGTATTACACACATTTCATGATGCATTACAATATATCACTTTGTACTCTACCCACACTCACAGCTGTGGGTGAGGCAGCCATAGGCAGAAGGAAGGAAGCATGGAAGGGAAGGGAAGGGAAGGAAGGAAGGAAGGAGAGAAAGAAAAGAAAGAAAGAAAAAAAGGAACAAAGGAAGGGAGAAAGAAATTGTATATGACTGTCAGAATATTTGTATAGCCTAAACTGGAGAATGAAGAAGAAAAACTGCATTCTTGAAACTCATAAATAGGAGCGTGCACCTGCCAGTTAAATTATACCTAGTAAGCTTGTAGCATGCAAATCAGATATTTTCTAAGCACATTATTGAAGCATCTAACTATTTTCAGGTAAGGTGGTATTTTTGCGTGGATGAAATATTACCACACAATTTATTTGAATCCAATTGTTTTTGATGGCTAAATAAAGCAATTATTTTTATCATTTGGCTAACACCAGTTAAAATCCAGGTGAAGAATATCCTGAATATGCTGTCTTGGTAATTTTTTTTAAATAATTTATTTAGGAACTAAACAACTCAAGCATATTTTGCTAAAAGATGTGGATACCATTTTTGAATGCAAATTCTGCCGCAGTCTCTTCAGAGGGCTACCAAATTTAATAACTCATAAAAAATACTATTGTCCACCAAGTCTTCGGATGGATGACAGTAAGTTTCTGTTCTCTAAATTTTCTTGCTAGGATTTTAAAGTTATATTCGTATAATGCTTTTAAGGACAGTGATTGTTAACATGTAGCTTTTTTTCTATAAAGCATGCATACATACTCTTACAAATATAATTTGTTGTATCTGTATTATATCCGTACTATACATGATTAATAGAAGATGCCTCTTACTTACAGGAGTTTCTAAAGAGTATGGAAAGGGGCAAAGGTAATGTTAAAAATATGAACAAATAAATTGACAGGTACTTAATTTTATCTTTTTTTTAAAAAACCTGTGGTTGCACACTATTATATAAGCATTCTGTGAGATACTATATGCGACGGAATTTTGAGTTGCTCATTTCTGTTTCCTTTCTGAACAAAGTTTTTCCAGAACAGAAAAGGCTGAACGTTAGTTGATTTGAATGTCTATGGAAGAGCATTTATGGTGCTGTCTTCCCTTTTTATAATGTTGTCTTAATGTACTTTACTGTTATATTATTTTTACTTTTTAGTGATAGATGTAATATTGTCTAATTTAAACACTCTGTTTTATATTTTAGACTCTCCTGATATAAATGATAAACAGAGTCAAGCCATAACTGATCTCCTAGAAGCTATGTATCCAAGAGTGAACAAGCAAGATTATATAATACGTTTGGAACCTATAGAAACAAACCAGAATGCTGTGTTTCAGTATGTTTCTAAGGCAGATAGCTCAGTGGAGAACACTGATACAAACACTGTTCCTGACCAAGCTTCTGTAGAAACACCAGAACATGCAGCAGAACCTCCTCCTAAACCAGCGTCAGATGCTTCAGAAACAAAAGCCGAAGAGACTCCTCCGTTAGTTGTTGACAAGATAAGGCCAACTCCAGAAGAACCTACCCCAGGCTCAAAACCTGAATTAGAATGTGATAATAATTCTGATTCTGGTCATCAATTAATTTGTTGCCTGTGTAAAAAAGAATTTCATTCCAGACGCAGTGTACGCCGTCATATTAGGAAAGTCCACAAAAAAAAGATGGAAGAACTAAAGAAATTTATTCAAATTAAAAAACGGCCAAATCAGACATCTGGAAGGGGTCGCAATAAGAATGTTTTGGTAACTTTGGGTAAAAGTTGTCCTTTGTGCATTAAATCATTTGCTACAAAAGCCAATGTAAGAAGGCATTTTGATGAAGTTCACAGAGGACTGAGAAGGGACTCTATAACTCCTGATATAGCTACAAAACCTGGACAGCCTTTATCCTTGGATAAAACCTCTGCAAAAACTGTTAAAACACAAAAACAAAAGCCTTCAAAAGCTGAGTACAATTTAACTACTTGCAAATGCCTCTTGTGTAAGAGGAAATATAGTTCCCAGGTAATGCTTAAAAGGCATATGCAAATTGTTCACAAGATAACACTTTCCATTAAGAATCCTAAAAGAGAGAGAAAGCCCAATGCAGAAGTGAAAGTAAAAATCGAACCAACAGAATCCGCAGAATCTATGCCTTCCATCTGCAGTTCTTTGCAGAATGAAGTAAAGGGAATAAATAATTCAAATGAAAGAAAAAATACATCATCCACTGAAAGAAAGAATGCAGTATCCGGTGAAAAAAAGAAAACACCCGCTGAACGAAAAGGCGTGTCATCTACTGGAAAAAAGAATGTAACTCCAGCTAAAAAAAATAAAGTTAAGCAGAGCTGTCAGAAATCAAAGTCAAACAATCAGTCTCATGCAAGTGGTCTCAAAAAGCCCAGGAAGCCAAGGTTGTCAGTTGGCTTTGATTTTAAAAAGCTTTACTGTAAACTCTGTAAACGCCAGTTTACTTCTAAACAAAACTTAACAAAGCACATTGAGTTGCACACAGATGGAAATAATATTTATGTTAAGTTCTATAGGTGTCCTCTCTGCACTTACGAAACACGCCGAAAGCGTGATGTGATAAGACATATAACTGTAGTACATAAAAAGTCTTCACGCTACCTTGGTAAGATAACTGCAAGTTTAGAAATCCGAGCAATAAAAAAACCCATTGACTGCATTCTAAAAAAGGTGGAAAAAAGAGGCCCTCAGAGGGATGAAGGTAAACAGAATGGTTCAAAACAAGACATTACCTCTAACTCTCCAAATAAAAAATATGAAGGAACTGATGTTGGCATTGAAGTGAAAGTCACAAAAAACTTTTCTCTGCACAGATGCAATAAATGTGGAAAAGCATTTGCCAAAAAGAGTTTCTTAGAGCATCACAAGAAAACTCATAAAGCAAATGTGACACATTCACCTGATGAAGACAACAAAACCAAAGGCAGAAGTACAAGATCTAAAGCTCTTGTCTGTTGAAGGATACTAGTGCCTTCTTAAAATACATGCCTAAATTTTCCATGGGTACTTAGGGCACAATCACATTTTTAATAGATCTAATGCTTCAGAAGGTAAAAGACATTCATTAAAAAAAAGAGTTTAAAAGTGTTTTTTTCATGACAGTGAACCTAAAGCAGTTTAAGTTAATACAAGCATGGTTCTTCAAAGTTTAATATTATATATTAGTATTTGCATAATATTTAGTTAATAGTTTTACAGTTCCAAATGATTTTTAAAATTAGTTTTGCACTTCCTTGATACTGACTGGGCTCAGCAAGCATATATGAACTGAAGATCTATGGATGTGATGTTGCCTAAGTATGTTGCTTTAATACGTTAGAAAATATTTTTGGCATAGAACTTGGAAAGTATATTTGTATTTTAAATTAATGGTGTATAACTCTTAAACTCAAGAGTTAATACTTTTGTATTTAAACCATAATTCCTTTTGTATTAGGAGAAGATCATCACTCAAAAAAAATCTTATTTTATTTGAGGAATGTTTTTGGTACTTGGTTATTTGTTTCTGGAATTTTAACTTTTTTTACAGAATTAAATTGGACTGGATAGGGGTACAGATAGCCTGCTTTATTTTATGTAATGAAAATATGTTAACAGTTCCAAATTACCTTGCTTTAATTGAAAAATCTTGGAAAACCAGCCGTTAAGGAAGAACAGTGTTTTTAAATTCCTGTGACAGATAGAAGTTGTTTCATTTTAAGAGATAAGTGAGTGTATTTCAGTAAACAGATGGAAAGGCTCCTTTCATTTAAGGTAATTTCATAAAAATTACCTTCAAAAATTACCTTCAAAAATTACCTTCAAATTACTTGTGGATTCCGGTATTAATATTAAAAATTATGTAAGACAAGCTTCCAGATATTTGAAAACTTTTCCAGTTGGTTGAAAGGTTGGTTGGTTAGTTGTTGTTTTTGTTTTTTATAAAATAAAAAATGGGTCTCTAAACCAGTGATAATCTGGACTATTGACCCTATACCTTCCTTTTCCCTTTCCCCCATATTTAGAGGGGGACCCCTCAGCCAGTGAGGGAAGAGATATAAAGAGAACACAGAATTTTTTAGTAAAGGAGTCCCTATCTTGTACATAAAAGTTTCTACTGGATGAAATAATTATGGGTATTAATTGAATGATTCAATTTTTACCCAAATAAGCAACCAGTTTATCAGAGAAAGTTAGTCTGATTTCTATGTGGTAAGCTTATATGCTGCTTACTAATAATAAAAAAAACCTTTAAAATTGATTACAGGTTATATATGTATTTCTCCTTAGCTCAAATAATGTGATAATATTTGAAATTAGAACCACTAAAATGTAGAATAGTGCTATGAGAATAAACTATTTTCAGACTAAATATATTGATATATCTTAATGTAACATCTTGTCCAACATTTTCAACAAAATTAAACTTCATTAAAAATAACACCTTGAATTGAAAAATTTTCGTTGATGCAGTTTTCTTGATGCAGTTCTGGAGTGTTAGTAATGAAATGAACATTTTAAAAGGAAAGTTTGCAAACATTTTTAAATGAAATTACCACCTAGAACATGTGCTTCATAGGTGTGTCCTATGTGGTCCTTACTTAATTCTGATTTTACGGAAAATATTTTATGTTCGTTGTGATATACTACTAAGCAAATGCTTTGTGATGTACTTAAAATATTTTTATATATATAAATGAATGTATATGGACAGTTTTCTTAGTATAATTTGAATGAATTGTAATCTAGCATTTGCTTTAAATTCAATTCATGGTTCAGTAATTTTGGGAAGTGTTAAATTTGAATTGTACTGTCAAAATCTATAGTGATTTTGAATGATTAGTATATTCAACAGCTTTCATATGGAGGTTTACAAGCTACCCACATTCCCCTATTTTAATTTTTTCTTTAAAAAATAAAATTACACACAAGCACTTTAATAGTCAGAATTTAAATTTCTTTTAGTGATTTCTTCTAAAGACATTACACTAATATTCCTGTGAAGATAGTAGTTGGGGTTTTTTTGGGGGGGGGTAGTATATTCATATTCAAATATTTGTTTTGTAGTATGTTAATTATTGCCTAAGAAAAATACTGCAAGGAATTTTTTGTTTTGCCCACAAAATGATGAATGACCATTTTAGGTAGCACTTGACTTTTTTTGTAAAGTTTATAAGATGCTTGCTCATTATTGTCTATTTTATAATCAGTTCTATAGCAAAACAGTAGCACACCTTCCATTATGAATTTTTGGCAGGTTTGTACGCCTTTTTAAAAAAATTAGAAAATGTTTAGTGATTTGTGTCAAATTGCCAGATACTGAATATCTGAAGAAATGCCATTTCTAAAATACTGGTTGACTCCCTTCCTAAGGGAATGCCTTGTGTCCATATAAACCTTTTGTACAAAATAATCTAAAAATGTTGATCATAAATAAAAAAATATTCTTTTATGAATAGATACATGTTTGGCCTTTTAGTGCTCTGCACTAAAAAACTGTGAATGGAAAATGGACTGTAACTGTTTCTGGAAATGTTCTATGTTGAATGTACATGCTTGGATAAATGTACTTTATTTGAATAAACTGGAAATTATTTCAGCTAAATATACTTAGGCCCTCTGTATCAAATGTATAGTTGAGAATAATGTGGTTGGTAAAGACTACCTGTTGTTTACATACCTTACTGTGGAAAACCTGTAAGAACAGTTGGCTACATTAGCAATTATGCAGCTCAGGGTGGGGGATTTATTTTCTTCTTTTCTTCTAGGGCAGTGGTGGCAAATCTTGGCATGTCAAAAATTCAAAAAATGCCTAACTTGACTTTGCTAGCATGTCATATAACCCCTCTCACCTGCCCACCCTGAACAAAAGAGAAACAATTCATAATAAAAAGTAATACATTAAATTATTTAAATTTATCGTTAAATAAATGAATAATTAGATAATTGTACATATTTTTGGAAATGCATATCTGAGGCAACTCCAGGTTGCCCAAGGCTTGGAAACTTTAGAGAATGCTCTTACATGGCCTTGCAGCTTCCAAAAAGAACAGGAAAGCATTTCTTATTCTCAGGTACTTGTTGCAATCTCTGGAGGTTGTGCAATAACAGAGGCCTCTTGCTCAACTTTCAGAGCATCTGGACTCTGAAAGGTCACAAAAAATGAAATGGTGAGTCACCTGTGACACATGTGTCATGAGTTATAGAGTCAAATGAGAGCTTGAATAGAAATCAACTGCAACATTATTTTCAATGTATCAGAAATGCAACATTTACTACAAGCAGCAGTGGGAAAGTTGATGATTCATGACCAAAAAAGGTCTAGTTACTTAGCCACTAATCTGGCAACAATCAGTTTTTGAGCTGACATAATAAAATTGTGCCACATAGGATTCAATTATTAGGAACATGACTTGGATCATATATGATTTACAAATTGTTTAAAACATTGAAAACAAGAAACAAAGAATACATATGACAGGATGACAAAACCAGGTGGGAATAAATAGCAACAGGAATAACAGAAGTAGCCTATACTGCATTCTAACCGCTGTTCTAACCATGGCTCATATGGAATGAAAACCATGTAACTTCCTATGCTTTAGTCAAGGCAAAGGCCTGGGTAAACATCCCAGACTTCAGGGCTCTTCAAAGTATCAGAAAGTTGGGGGCCATTCAAGTCTTACTTCATTCCACAGGGTAAGTTCTGTGAAGGAGACGATGCACTTCTGGGGTACTGATAGATGGCATTGCTTAAGTAAAGCAACCTGGTATACTCCAGCCTACCAGGTCATATTGGCTGAGAGGTACATAATGAAACAAAATGTTAAGTTATATTTATGTAGTTAGTTACCAAGCACATCTGAATTATATTAAAGTAACCAAAATATCTTTACAACCCCCAAAGCATGTCAAAACTTTTGAGCACCCCTAATGTTTGGAAATTGAAAGTTGAAAAATTTGACATGCCCTAACAGACACTCAAGTAACCGGGTTGTATGCCTTATATGGCTTCACAGGTGACAATATTTTGATTTACACCCAAAGCAAATTGGCAACTATTGCAGTTCAGAAAGCCAGTTTTTACTTGTACATAGTGAGGCTTGCCCATTACTGCTTATTCTGGACCAGTTGAAGCTTCTGGGTGGTCTTCAAGAATGGTCCCATATAGTAATGGTGACTGTACTACTAAGTAACTCTACTGAATGTCATTATCTAAATAGACTGCTCAGTACCTACAAAATCAGATGCATCTAAATTCATCTAATATTGAAGTAGATTATTAGATTATTGCTTGGTGCTTTAATTGAGCCTATCTTTAAATATTAAATGTAACCACTAGATAGAACTTTCCAATCTGATTTTCCTGGGCACCTTTTCTTTATATTGGCATCTCACATGCAATCTTTCACAGTGATTTTAAAAAGAAAAAACTCACAAATTGTGAGACCAAATCATATTCTCGTTTGATATAAGATATTCATCACAAAATACAGTTACACCCTGTTACTAGCATAAGGATATGAATGTAATGGGTTTCGGTTGTGCTTGACTGCACTAGATGTGTACATATTAAACAGAGAAATGAAAGTTATAATAAAAATCTATAAAGTCTTAGTTTTTATTGACCTGCTGAGTTTCTTCAGTGCATAATTAAGTTCCAGTTTTGCAGATCACAACTTAAGGCTGTTAAGGACAATTTACACCAATCGATGGAAAGGCATGGAGTCATTTATATTCTAATTCAGCGGTACGGTCTTATACCTTCAGGAAATTTCAGGGTTTTCAATATTGTCTAAATATTGAACTACTGTAGAAGTCAAAGCTGGAAATTCTGATTTCTTGGATTCTGCTTTTCCAAGACCACTAAAGGAGACAGAATTCAGTCTCATTTCTGATAACAGATCAGAAAATAATCCATGGACAACTGCAGTTTTAAAAAAAAGCAACAACCCTTGCTAATTGTTCTTTAAGAACATGTCCTCATGATGTTGCCTTTGCCTCATGGCCAGCGCATAGCTGGGGGTTCTTGTACTTTTCTCATTCAGTGTGAAAATAGAATAGATTTTCCATCTTCTCCAAACATGAGATTACCTTCTTTCAAAACTTGACTCCTTCCCCAGCCCTGCTGCATCCCACCTTAGAAATGGGGATTGGTGAATACTTTTGCATCCAGGAAGAAATCCTCCAATCACAGGCCTTATCACTGAGGTAAATTAGAAAATGGCCGTTGGAGCAAAGTTTTCCTCGCAGTTGGGAGAAATAACATGTTAAAGTGACTGTCTGATATGAGCTCTTTATTTTGAGGAAGATGTGTCCAGTTTTATTTTTTTAAAAATCATTGATCTCGTTTCAAGCACCAAAATGCTGTTTATAAGCTGTAAGTTATTGTATTTCAGTTACTGACCAGCAAAACTGCTTTGAAAGGCAGTCACACTTAACCACCAAATATCAATAGAATTCAGTGATTTTTTGACTCTGTTACCCTATAGTATTAAAGAACAGAAACTGTTTAGAAGAAAAAAAAAGTATAACATCATATAGCAATACAACTAACATTATATGCTTAAGAATTTTGTGCATAAAATTAATATAAGGCAGTGGTTTTCAACCTTTCCTTCACCATGGACCCCTTTTAAGTACTTTAGCAATGGACCATGGCCACAGACCACCAAGACCTAACTCAAGATTGAAATAATAAAATTTCTTTAAGCCTTCATGGAGCCCATGTGATGACATAGTGCAGGGGTGTCCAACCTTTCACCTTCCCTGGGCCACATTAGAAG